AGCCTTTCATTTTCAAATGATAAAGCCAGACTACGAGTTCCAGTCACAATAGCTGGATTTATGAGGATGCACTTGGTTTGAGCTACATGCTAACATCCCCATGCTATCAGGTGACAATAACAATGAAGTTTAGCAAGTAAGATAAGGACATTTTGGCTCCAGATGCATTTCTTTCTGACCCTTAGACCTTCTTCATGACCAACAAAGTCAAGACAGAAGTACTGCTCCGTTTTAAGCTGCAGCCACACGAGGGCGATAACGGTCGTATCCGCCACAGTTCTCTATCAGATAGACGGTTCGGCCACACGAGGCCGACAGGGAACGCAGATAACGATAACGATAACGGGTCCCAAGGTGGGTAGATCTGCGGACGAAACGCTCTGGGGGGCCAAACGGCTCCGTGTCTATAGGCCAGACCACCGTCACACAGCTGATGGTGATTAGATAATCATGATCAACCCTGGGGGTGAGGAGGATCAATCCAGAGGCCCTCAACCAATCAAAAGAGTCAGGAGCTAGAGCAAATGAAAATGACATCAAACAAAACAAGATCACTATAAACATATTGATGGAAAATAAGAGAAAAAGCTCTACATTTTGTAACTCTAAACCCTTCAGATAAACACTGACTAAAACATTTGTGATGGATCATTCATTATGTTCCATGCCTCACTAATCAAAGACTTAAAACACTTCATTCATTATTTTAAAACGTATACCATGTTTATCATCTGTGTTTAATTAGCTAAGCAAATTACATTTGAAGCTAATAAGAACCTGAGTTGTGTATAGTGTCAACAGTTGTAGCTTCATTTGGATTCATTTTCCCGGGCAACGTAAATGTGTGTACAACATTTCTGTACAAAGAACAAATTGTAAGAAATGTTTCTGAGACATTTCAGAAGAAGCTGCTCCATCAACAAACAGGATGGTTGTCATTGCCATCCCTAAAGACATTTCACAAGCATGGCTCAAATCCCATTACAAGTACCTAGAGTCCAAGGTAACTATAAAGAACTTGTTTTGTCGAAAGGTAAAATAATAAATATAAAATAAATGTGAAAGTCCTAACATTGCATAAGCTGGAACCAAGGAGTGTTTGCTACTTCTGTTTGATAAATGACTCAAAAGTGTTCCAATTAATTATCTGTCTGACAGATAATCGTTTCATCACTATTTTTCTTTGTATCTACGGTAATTGTGACTCTTGCTATTTCTAGACCTCTGTGGTACTTTCTCATAGTAACTCCCCCTGAACTGACAAAACGTCCCTTAAACTCTGCTTTAAAACACTGTCAAAATCACTGCTGGTGCTATTTTGCAAATCCGCATGGAACAAACTGAATGACATCAGGATGAAGGACTGTCCCGTTAATTCATTAATCTCCGGCTAGTGTCAGATGATCTGAATAACAATAACATCCACTCTCACTCTCTCCCCAACCTAATTAATGAAAGTGTAACGTTGTGGTGTCAGGCCGCAGATATGTCGTATATTAAAGCTGACAGGAGCCACAGCCTTCTCGCTGTGACCCTGAGCGGTGGCTGCATTTCAGTTCTGGTAAAGAGAAATGTCGGGAACTGGAGTCACCTTTCAAACAAAATGCACCAATGGTCCCCCAAGCTGGGAAATTGCTTTCCGTCAGAAAAAAACACTCCAGTGCCGGAAATGTCCTTCAGCAACCCCTGATACACAAGCTGAACAACACTCCACTGCAGTGTTGTTCGGAGGGAAACAGGGACTGCATACAATGATTATAATCAACAGTTACAACCTCCACAACTGCCCCCTGTCTGCTACTGTTTGGATCATACGGGCTGATTCTCCTCTTGTTGTTTCCTATCTTCTTCCAACAGCACTGTTCCAGCTGATTGTGTAACTGAACAGACTTATGTAACTGGAAAAACAGCAAGCCAATAACGAGTATAAGAAATGTTGTGTTCGTTGTGCTGACACCTAACAAGCCATTGACATATAGCTGTGTTCAGTCAGTAGCTTAATCCTGTGACCTGGTTGCACCCATGATGGATGCTGTGGCCCTGTGATAAAATGGCTTGGCTTGAGTAGCTGTGCCTGTCAAAGGGTCTCTCCTTATAGCCACTGTCATGCTGCCCTCTTCTGATAGCAGGTGATAGTGCATACTGTAGAGAGCCATCCTGTCAGTGTCCGTAACAATCAACAATTATGTGCACCAAGGAAGTTATGTGTCTGTCTGCAGCGTTACAGAAAAAAAGAATGCCCTGATTTTCATGAACTTTCTCCTGAACTCTCTTTTATCACCAATATACAGTAAGTTTGACGCTCTGAGACCTTCACAAGGTATTTTAAAACTAACTCAAGCTAAATGTCTCCATGAAATCTGCTGTGGAAATTCCTGGTTCCTTGGAGACAAATGATAATGTTTTTCGTGACACCCCGGTCTTTCATTCAACAAAACATGGCCAATTTGCTGGTGTAATAGTAAACTGAGAAATAAAGGCACTGAATAATGCTTTCGCTGCTGCAACACCCTTAGATTCTTATTTCCTTTATTATAAAAGAAATACTTGTAAAGGCCATAACCAGGTCTTTAAACAACATTTCTGGTGTTTTCAAGTCTTACGTTAAAGAGTGTGATACACTTTAATCCAGCTACTGGACATTCTGAAGAATTTGGTTGCTAAGCCATGTTTGAAGAAACACTCTCCTTAAAAGTATGTCCTGCTGCTGCCTGCATGTATACTAGTTTAATTTGATGCCATGCTGCCCTCTTCTGACTCCACGTGGTAAAGTGGTTTTCCATTGGTGCTTAATGATTTCATTCAGAAACCAGGACACTATTGTTATTTAGCTGACAACTTTATCCAAAGCAACTCTCATACACCTCAAAACAGAAAATGGGGAAATATTAGTTAAGTATCTTAAGTCCCAAATGTTGACTGCAGGGTCTGGGAATCAAACCACTGACCCTCTCATTAGTAAATCAGCAGATTATAACCCCTAAGCCACAACCATAATTTTCACATTCATAGTAATTTACCTATTGACGTTTCAGTAATATTCACATTATAAAAACAACCAATTAAATATTTGTGTTTCTGTGGCATGAAAAGCAGGTTGCTTATAGCCACAAATGACTGATTGCCAGTGAAAACAGCTAATTGACGTTGACAGCCTATTGAAGTTTAACCCTAAACATTTTTTTTAATCAAGGTAATGAACTTTCCAACCTAATGTAGTTGGAAAAAAGGGCGTATGGGCTCGACTGTGTCACATTTGAACCCAATAATGTTGGGTTTTTTCACTACAGAAGATATAAGTTACCCCAGTGCAGGAGTTACTCTCTGCCTAAATGGTAGCGTTTCAATCAAAATGGTATTTACTAGTTAAGATATTCAAGAACTGTTTAAATTGTTGGCATGAAGATACGCCAATTTTCTCACTTCCCATTTCAGAACGCCTACAGTACACTGCTCTGCTTCCTTTCAATAAATGGCTAAATTCTATTAAATCTTCTCTCAGTTCAGCCTTGCTTTCTTCTTGGCCTACATTTACACACACCTGTAACTCATTTGTGTCTCTGCCACTTAATAGACGGTGTCTGTATTTCACTCCAACACCCTGATGAAGGCTTTTATCATTTACTGTATCTGAAGTGTGTGGCTGTCAGCCATGTAATAGGCTTTTTATTTTACACAGTCAAGACTTAAAGTGCCTGGGGTTATTTTATTCCTCAGTCACTGCTTCGCTTCAGAGCAAGACCATACATCTGTTGCTGAGTTTTATCTTAAGGGGAATCTTTGGCATTTATCAACCTGGAACCATTTCTCCCTGGATTTTGTGTCTGAGTAACTAATGGGGACAACAGTTTTTGGAACTGTTTAGTAACTTCAAGCTCCATCAATTAACATCGAATAAATTGCTTGTTTTTCACGGGAATTCTCCTTGAGAGGTACTTGATTCGACACAAAAACCTTTCATAATGTTTCCAGACAGTTGTTACAACAATCTGAGACTGTCAGTGGAAAAACAAGTGGCACTTTATTACCGACGAGGTGGAATTGCATTGAAGATTGCAGTCCTGTTTTGTGGCTGCAGTTTATTGCTCAATAATGGACCAATTCCAGAAATGGATGTCCATTTGTTTCTTAGAAGCAAAAATCTTTGGAAAATTAGTCAAAAATACAGTTAATTGCTCTGCGGACATCATCACTATGACCTGACCGGGAATGACCTTTCTACAAGCAGGAAACAACAAATATGTCTCCAGGGGAAATGCGATGTGCTTACTTGCTGTTTAATGTTGTTTTATGTATGTAATAAGACAAAATTATTTGTCTTTCTCTGTTATAGTAAGACTTAATGTAGCTAACATTAGCAGATCATGTACATAGTAAAGTTAGTATAAGTTATAAGTACAGTTTTAGCCATAGGACTAACTAAGTGAGATCTGTGTAAAGCTAGCTAACTTAAGCTAACGTTAGCCACCATTGCAACTAGTTAGGCTATCACTAAAAGTCCTGAGTGTTTGGAATTGAACAACAGTATGTTTATGCCTTCTTAAATCTACTTTTAGTTTGTAGGAAGAACATTGATTCTTCTTTTAAAAAGGTCTATACTTGCACAATCCCAAATAGTCTGTAATCATTAGATAATTATGGGCCATTTTTACAATAGATTCTATACTACAAATGTGCCAACATTGTATGAGATATTTGGTGTATAGTAATTTTCCCTACTATAAAACCTATACAAAAAAACAGATATAGTTCTATAATGTTTGTATGCAGTTTGAATAAATGACACATCTATAGTCCTCACTCTTTAAAAGCGACAACTCCATAACATGGTAACTCATTAGAGGTTCATTTAAAACACCAATTACCTATTAGAGGTTAATTAAAAACACAGACATCCCATTTATCAAATCTGTCCCATAAAACGTTCACAGACTTGCATCTTGAGTGGTATGAACTACTTTAAAAAACACATCATGAAACACGTGAACACTGCAGCGCACTGATCTTTAAAATAGATTTTATTTAGCATTTTGTAATTCAACAGTTTACGATATACAGCTGACAGGACTAAGACATTTCAATGGATTTTGGCCCTAAAGGTTGAAGAACAGACATCGTTAGATTGACAGATATATATGATAGAGGATACCAGAAGGACTGTGTTCTCTATTCTCGCTTTTTCTCTCCACTCCTCCCATGAAACAATGTACATTGGCATAGCGACAACACAGCATTTGTCCACTGACACCAGCACAGTTTATTTCAAACAGACCACTGAAAGTAAGACATTATTTACCCAACTTGGTTTCTTTTTTTCAAATGATTATTCTAATTATGTTTTTTCCTGTTGCTTAGACGAATGACTTCTTTAAAGTGCTGAAACATAATGGTATGTTTATGTGAGCAGTAGTAAGAAATTCAAGAGGTAATGTTCTGTAATTTACATAGAACCACAGAAACAAGGTGAAGTCACAGTTCTTTAGTACAGTAGAACACTTGTGCAGTGAATTTGTGTATAAAAATGGTCAAATGCTTCACGTAGTTCTTCAACATCAGTGACTTTCTTCATGACCACTTCAGTGTAAGATGACAATAGGCAATAGCATATTAGTATCTGAAGACATGGGTCAGTTATGAACTATTTTCAATTGTGTTGATCTTTTTTTTGTAAGTGTCCTGTAGGACGTAGTTGGTCAAAATATAATAGTCACTATACCTTTGTCTGATGGCACACAATTGTCTAAAATGTCCACATAAAACAAAATGATGTCCTGATATTATAATTCAGAGCTGCACAAGAATGAAAATGTGAGTTAATGGGTCCTGATGCTAAATCAATGTTAGAGGCTGAGTAATTTTGGTGTTTTGATTTTGCTAATATTTAAAAATATTGTAACAGCTAGACAAAAAAAAGTTCAGTTAAGGGCCACTGAATATTAAACCGTAATGTACGACTGTTGGCACTGCACTGTGTAAAATGTAGTTCCTGTGATATTGTTCTTTTAAAAAAAGCATCGTCATGTAGCTGCAGCCGCCATCTACACCAGAGCTCACCTTAAAAACGAACCATTCTTTCGTAGTTCAAGTTTCGATCCAAAGATTTTGTTTGGAAATGCTTTTTTAATATTAGCTGGCTTTATCTTAACGTTTCAATGAATACTTCAAAAACAACAAAAAAAGTAGTGACATTTAACATTGGATAAACAATTATTAAAATCTGAAGATAAAATATGTAGTTTTCTTTCTCTTCTTTTAGTACAACAATTTTTTTTCTTAAAAGATAGACTATATTATTAGCAGAATAAGACTTGGCTAGTTCTGATGGGTTAGAGGTACATCGACATCAACACTTACACTACTCCTGCTCTACATGCAGGCTCAGCAGTACGAGCAAATCCACTACACACAGAGTACACAATACACCTGACGTCTTCTACATTACACTACAAGAAAAATGACAAATCATAAAACAAAATGAAACATTACCCGCCCTCCCCGAACCCGCAAAAACAAACTTACCCCCCCTCGAAATAAAAGCAAAGATGAACACACACATACACAGTCCGATTATATATTTTTTACATTACTGTACAAAGGGAGGAAGAGTTGTGGGGGGCAGCGGAGTAATGGTAAGGGGTATGTAGAGCGATAGCATGGAAACATGGTGGCTAAGCCTCACCTACTACAGCATGAACACGAGACAGGCAACCTTAAAAACAGGAAATGGTCTGCAAGCTGTCCCAATATGCACTGAGAATAATAACTTCGTATTGACCTTTTCAGCAAACAAAACCTCATCTAGAAAGTGCAGCACTCCTAAGATTGGAATTTTGACTTGGAGTAAGCAACGCAATATCTTTAAATAAGTAGGTGGTGAATGTATTGTTTGATAGAGCACCAGAATGTAAAAAAAGACAACTAACTACCAACCAAGGATACAATTCTCCATATATGGAAACAGTCATTGCACTGTATGTTTCTCTTAACAAAGCTGTTCAAAACTTGTGTAGAAATGTGTGCTTTTTCAGAAGCTCACTGTGCTTATCATGATTTATTTGAACTACTGTGCTTAGCATTGACCACCCTTCGTCGCTTCCTTAATATGTAATACTTTCTGGTGTTGATTTTTAGTTCACAGTTCCACCTCTGTTGTGCGTACTACCCTGAGTGTCAGCATCACCCCATCTTGTGGATCACAGCAGGGAGTGCACTGTCATGTAAACAAAACTTCTAAGTAAATCATTGTGGGGAATAGTGGTCAAAGAAAACAAAGAATGTGCGGATATAATCTGAAGTGGTGCATCATTATTTCTGAAAATTGTTGAAATGACTAATAAGCATCAACATACAGACATTATTCATGGGAAATATGCTTTTTTTCTTTCCTTCTTAGAATTGGAAAATAAATGAATACCACTCTGAAATATGAAGTTGGAGCTAACATCTGCTCAGCTTGGCATAAATTCTTTAGTCGTTATGCTAAGCTAAGCTAGCCAGGTGCTGTCTGAAGCTTCATCTTTACTATAGACACATGCAAGTAGTATCTCAATCTTCTCAGCTAACTCTCAGCAATACATTTACAAATAGTATTATACTCCTTTAAGTCTCTCTATCCATAAATATGTTGTTTACAACATACAATTTGTGTTTTATGACACACATGCGAATACTGTTATTGTAGCCCCGTAGTTCTCCAGACGTGAAGGAACATTACAGCCAGACCTGATGCAATCCAAAACAATCCTCCCTGCCTGGAAAGCTAAAAGACAAAGGAACGTATGATCTTCACACAGCTGTCGAGATGACAAAAAACACAACTCACGTATTTGTTCTGTATTTAGACTGCCAGAAACCTCTACGACCACACTACTACAAAACCAATCCAATTGAGCATGCTATAGAGACCCCCTCTCTGTCCCTCCACAACAAAACCACAATGAATCAAGTCACAGATGAGGAATGGTAAACACGGTTAATTATGATTCTGTAGTTTTACATGTTTTTTGTACAAAATAAACATATGCTGTCTTTATAATTATTTACTAAGTTACTTTACAATAATGAGAGGTAAAAAGGAGATTTTTACTGAGAGAACGATACTATACAGCTACATTTAAATCTACATCATTCATTTAAGATTTTTTATTCTGTATTCTTCTGGAAAAAAGCTACATCTCTCTCCGTTTTTTGTCTCTCAACCAGTCACAGCTTGATTCAGAGATTGAAAAGAAATACCTGTAAATACATTAAAGGTTCCACTGACTGTAAAAGACTGACACCATACCAGCATTTCTGCGATATACAGTATATAATGTTGCCAAAAACATGTGCAGGTAACTCAGGTAATGTTTTTGGTAACATGCCTTAATGGGGCAGATTGTTATGACCTATGGGAGACACAGACTACGACACACCTAGCTACGTCCTCTAGCCCGGTACCTCCTTCACATCCCAAGATGCATTTCACTCAAAAATAATGCCTGGAAGACTTAAGGAGAGATGGCTCTCCTATGAACAGAGTTGCATCTGTACGTTTCATGTGTATGTATAGGTGATTTTAGACAGCGGGGACAAGTGGTTTCGGTCCACATACATTTAACAGGCCACCTTAGTGGAGACAAGGTTTCCACGGGCAAGGAACAACAAGAAACCACAACGTGTGTGTGTGTGTGTGTGTGTGTGTGTGAATGCAGAGGCAGAGAATACAGCACTGTTAACTGATATTCCTCTGCTGAGTTTACAAAGTTTAAGCAGCTTTAGTGGAAAAAGAAGTTACAAATGGAGGACATTTCCACAGAAAATCAGTGTAAGTCGCCATCTCAGGTGTTAAATATGTGTGCTCTGTAAGAACTTTTTGAAGAAGCAGCAGCATAAAATAACATGTTTAGTCTTAAGCTGAGATCAACTATGGTTGAGGTCACTGTGTGCTGTAAAATGTACAATAGTGTGAATGTACTGGTATGAACGAATGTATGCACGTCTTTTCCTGACCGATGCCCATCTTACCGCATTATCAAACTGCAAATGGCCAGTTCAGGCACGGTTCACCCTGCTTCTCTTTATTACAGCACCACTGTGTATCACATTTCAAGTCTCCAGCTGTCAAAACACTGCTGCTAGAAAGTCACCAGTTCCTAAACAGACAAGGCTAACAGAATAAAGGAGAACAGTGTGTGTCTCTATGTTGCTGCATGCACAAAACCAACAGCGTCATAATTGTACTGTACCTCTAACTGCATATGAAGATGTACACGTTTTACCAAAAAAAGTGAAAGGAAAAACAAACTGCATTATTAAATTATGCGTAACAAATTAACAACCCACACACTCACTAACATACACACTCTTTTGGATGATGACCCCATTTTCTTCCTTTCGTCTTTTTTGTTCTTCTTCGTTTTTTCTAGAGACAACACACAGATGGATAGAAGAGGTTAGGATAGATATAATAAGCCCTTACAATATGTAAAGGTCTCCAGCAAATGGGATCTCCCCCACAGAGGACTGTGGGAAAGTGGGGTGAGGATGGAGGAGAAGGAAGAGATGGTGGAGCACTGGCGGGGCGCTGCCCTGGATAGCGCTGACAGAACGGGGGCCGTCTATGCGCTGGGGTTGGGGCTGTTGTGCGTTGTGTTGGTGGAGCCGTTGCTTCCCTGGATGGTGAGGCTGATATCATCCTTCCTCTCCGTCTCCTCCTCCTTCGCCTCTTCCTTCGGCTCCTCATTCAGCTCCTCCTTATCCTTGAGGGGGCGAGCCTCCACAGTTTCTTCGGAGGCCAGGGGGGCGTAGCGGCCTGTCCGGTGCTCCCTCAGTGCAGGGCCCCACTTTGGATGTGGCCGGCAAGAGAACTTCAACCGCTGAGATAGAAAGAGGAAGGCATTACACATCAACCAGAGCAACTTATAACGAGGGGGAAATGTAAGAGTGAGTCAAAAATATATCAAAAAGCTGTTTGTTGGGCTCTTAATCCAAGATTAATCAATTCAATTAAAGGTGGGGTAGGTAAGTTTGAGAAACCGGCTCGAGATCGCTAGAATTTGAAAATACAGAACCGGAGAAAATCTGCCACTTCCTTACAGAGCCCCTCCTCCAACACACACGAACGCGCACATGACCAATGAGGGCACGAGATAAGTTTGTGCACAGATGGAAGGCTGACAGGCAGGTAGGCCATCCAGTTATTTTAGCCGGGCCGGCTCAAATGATTGGTCGTGCTTTTTACAGTACTACAGCTTCCACAGATGACATTTCTTTATGGATTTTTTGTCAAAGCACTTAAGATATTCATTGCTATCGGGATGTTAAGAGCATTCCATGGAATATAACAAAAAGTGTATCTCGAGCCGGTTTCTCAAACTTACCTACCCCACCTTTAAAGACTGAGCTGGAATTTCAACAACAAATTAATCAGTTTAGGCATTAATTATGAACATATGACTGAAAACTACCATAACTGTTGAGGCACTAATTCAACAGCTTTTAATCTGATATTTCACCTAAATTGGACTTTTCTACAGTGCAAATACGGATAATGCTTAAGCTTTAACCAAGCAGCAATATTCTATTGGAAAAGTAAAGTCATTGCAGAAGTGCCTTAAATCTGCCTTCCCTTTAATAACCTACTCTACTGGTAACAAAATGAGTCTGATTAGCATACTTCTTGATTGATATATTACCTTAGTTAATATTTTCCTGACCAGTTCAGTGTCTCAATCGATACTTACTTAAGTCATTTTCACGAGAACATAAGGTTTATTTTTATAATTAAGGTCCCATTTATAATATGCTTCGGGGGGTTTCTACCATTGTGCTGTCCGGTTTGGTTGTTGTTTCCGTTTTGGTCCTAGAACCATTTCATTGGATAATAATCATCTAAATGTATGTAATGTAAAGGTACAAGCAGGATTATTGGGTAACATCCTGTACCTCTCTGAAGGTGGCTCCTGGGGACCTTGAGATCTTGTAGAGGGCATAAATGGGTATGCAAAGCACCGAGGACATGGCCATGCAGAAGCCGATATACAGAGACCAGGTGGGAAACACGTAATCATTGTAGGTGATGGGCTTGTACTGGATCACTGTGAAGACCATGATGCACTGCAGGGACAGAACAGAGACATGAGACAACATGAGAAACCATTTACAGCAGGTGTCTGTATAACTAATGATCTTCATTTAAAAACACACAGTATGAAACAAAAAATAACAAATGGAAAATATTGGATTATATTATGTTGGATGTTATAGTAAATGTGATACAATTGAATGAACATCCCACTGTTCTGATTCATTAAAAACATTTGTCTTTTTTACAATTTTACACACTTGGTGGTTCGTTCTTAATACCTAGACAGTTTCCCATTGAAACAGAGTGTATGGCTTTGCTAACAGTTTACACATATATTAAACTGTAACCACTGTATCATGTTACGTATTGTATCACCAGATGTTTGCCCCGCTGTAAACAGCAGCAATGTGTCTTTATTCAAAAGTTGCAGATAATTATAGTATAACTCATGACTGTTCCCAACAGCATCGAGTTTATTCTCTGTTCTAGCAGAGGCCCTGCAGAGCGAAGCATTCATCTGTGTAGTGAAATGAAAGAGAGAACTAAAGTGGCTGAAATACGACCAGTAATCCAAAACAATGCATTTCTTGGTTAGCCCAGAAGCTTAGCGCGCTAATACGTCTGCTTGGGAAATACCATTGATAGCAGCTCCATGTGTCCATTTCCCAGTCAGAAAGATTTACTTCTAGAAGTTTTATGTTGGAAACGAAGCCAACAGTAGCCAAACAGATTAGTGTTGACAGCTGCTCTAAATGTAGGTCAGGCCCCTAACAATGTGTCAGAAACTCACGCTGAACGTCCTTCACATCAAAGTCTGGTTTGATTCCTGGTATAATGTTTGCATTTTTACAACAGGTATGTTTGCACGTGTGTGTGTGTGTGTGTGTGTGTGTGTGTGTGTGTGTGTGTGTGTGCGTGCGTGTGTGTCCACTTACAGAGATGATGACAGGGGAGATGAATCTCCAGCAGACTTTAAAGAAGAGAGGAGGAGGGAAGCCCAGCATCATCTCAACGTCTTTGAAGTATTGCTTATGGCCTGCGAATGGAACAAAAGTCATCCAGTAAGGTCAAAGTGTGATTGATCATTTTATTGATTGCGGTTATTAGTTTTTTTTGACAATGTTGCCACGCTATGAAGACAAAATAAATCATTTACTTGGAGCTTAACAGTTTGCACACCTTTGTTTGCACCCGAGTTTTTTTCCCTGGATGTGCGCACACTTGCTCTTCTTCTGACATTGACTCTACTATTGTTCTATTTATGGAATCATTTGGACAGAGATAGGAAAATTCCACCACCAAACCAGAAATAACACCCAAATTGCAAAGCACATAGTCAATATTTGTCTTAAAGAATAGTTTTTGTGTCACAGCAGCATTACAAATCTGAGTTTCTTTGAAGTATATAGTACAAAGAAAAGCATTCCTCCTCACCGTAAACATACATGACGCAGACGCACATGATGCAGGAGATGATGACAAGAGAGAAACTAGCAGCGTAGTTGTCCATCAGTAGCAACCAATAGATTCCTGCCTGTACACAGAAAAAAAAGAGATTGAATGAAGACCCCATGAGAGAAAACATGTTGCGATTAAAGAGCGTGTTTGGGACGTACCCGTGTTGTGAGTGGCACTCCAAGTAAGAATCCAATGACGGCCACCGACAGCGTGACGACGGTCTTGTTCCTGATGATCCAGTCTGTTCCGATCTCATCGACGACGGCCGTCACCAGAGTCTCCAACAGACAGAACTGCAAGACAAAGGGACGAAGGGTACATTTCATTTAAACATTTGAGAAACAAGTAAGTACGTTTTCTAACTTGATTAGGTTACCACAAATCTTTATAGATCATTTGAGACGGTTTTTCCATGTTTAACAGTTACTAAATCATTCAGTGTAAAAAGGTCGGAATGTTATGAGAGAAAAAGCTCATGTTTAGCAATGACATTTCTCCCATATTTAACATTTCTATAAAAATGTTCAATGAAGTGCTTTACTTAAAGGTGGGGTAGGTAATTTTGGAGAAACCAGCTCGAGTGTGCTAGAATTTGAAAATACACAACCGGAAAAAATCTGCCACTTCCTTACAGAGCCCCTCCAACACACACGAACGCGTATTACCTGTGAGCTGTGTCAAAGAGGTTCATCTAAAATATAAGGTTATTTAGGAAAAATATATCATCATTTTTTTTAAATAGGGTTGTATGAGGTACAGGTACCTACAGGAGATTGTGGTTGGAAAAAGATAAATGTTAATGCTTTAGTGGAACATTTGACTAATTCTCCATCAGGGATTGGTTGGTTTTTAAGGCAATTTTCTTGACATCTACTTTAGTTTAATTTACATTGGGCAATTCAAACATTTTTACATATCACCTAACGCTAGTATGCTACCAGTTTCACAAATATGACTAAAACCGAAGCACAGCTGATGGGAGAACAATTCGCTTTTTGGTAATAAACCAAAGCATTGGATCAATTGTACCCGATGATGATGCAAGGTTTAAAGTTGTGATATCAACAATTACTAATGAAGCGGCCCCATTATCAGAACGAGCTGGAGAGATGAATAGGCTGCAACCACTAGGGGGCCCCATGGCAACGCTAGGCTCATTAGCTGCTTAGTATTGTTCGGGATGCCAGTCATCAGAGGTTTGGTTGAAGTCTTTTTTGCTTTGGAAGATTTTTTTGTAAAATGACCCAAAGTACCTAAGTGGCCGCTATGATAAGAGCCGTTCAAAATGTCTAGATGATAGGAAAGGAGCTTTAATGCTTCCCTTTACGAAAGGAGAGGAGATAATGTTGTCCCATTTGACATCTTTTGCCATATCTTGCTAAAGTGCTTATATGTTTAAAACTGTATAACAATATGTTAAACCAAAAGGCAAACTATCAATGGAACACCACTTACTGTTGAAATTGTAAAAAAGTTATCCAATCACGTCAACATTTCAGCATTGTTTGTTGCCTTTTTCTCTTAAAATCCTATGGGAAACACTGATGTACTGAACAGTTCTCGAGCCTCACCTGAGTCCCCAGTCCCAGAAGGATGAGCATGAAAAAGAAGAGCAGTGACCAGAGAGGGGAGATGGGGAGCAGAGTGAGGGCTTCTGGGTAGGCAACAAAGGCCAGGCCCGGGCCGTGGTCTGCCACCTCGGACACAGGGACGTTCAGGTTGTGTGCCATGAAGCCCAGGATGGAGAAAATGACAAAGCCGGCATACACGCTGGTCGCACAGTTAGTAATGCTGATGATGATGCTGTCTCTGTATGGAGAACATAGAAGAAGAAACATGTTTGGGTTTCATTTAACTGCTGGATACCAGAATTGCATAAATTAGCGACTTTGACTGCTGTATATCCAGCATTGTTGAAATGTAAACTATACCTGTTCAGGAAGTGCAAGATGAACGAAAAAAGGGGAACATCGCTAAAAATGCACCAATTAAATATGAATACCAACAATGAACAGAACCCTATTGTCCTGTCATGAAGGTGAATGCATGCAACCTTTCAAATGAATATATGCATTTATTTAAAAAATGTGTTTTCTACAACGACCTACAAATAAGGTACAATCCAAAGAAGAAGAAAAAGCTTTCGAGAATAAGTGCGGTTCTATTTTACACCTGACACAAGTGCAAAAAGCCTTTTTATTCTCAAGGTGAAGGCTGACCCAGCAGCACCTTGTAAATCCATCAAATGTTCTTTCAAATGTGGACAAAACTATTCAAGGTTGGCAAAGTGCACAGGAGTTTCTGCAATGTTTGAATCGGGACAGAGAAAATGGCACATAACCATTGCAAGTAGGGGGAAAAAATTGCTCTCTGAAGTGCACGGGAATATGTAATAAAATAAGAAGAGAACATGCTGTAGGTACGTTGGTCCATGTTTTAATTTGTATTGTGATTAAATTAATAGCAAAGTAGAAAAAAGCCAAGTTTTTATTAAAGATGTCTTAATATCAAGATCATTTTGAATCAAATGAAGACACAATTGTGTCAAAATCAGGGCTGTTGTCATGGTGATTTTGACCCCAACTTCCTCTGTAATTCCAGCGCAGAATTTCCCCATAAATGGAATGGCAGTGAAATTGCATAGAGATCATAGAAATTGCGACAAGCTACATGTATTACACTTATAGAGTGCCACAGTGACGAGTCCTAAAACCCGGAAGTAAGTTAGCATTTTACCACTTCCGGTTCCTTCGCCAAAAAGCAATGCAATTTCTCCATAGGATTTTGGAAAATAGATCGAAATAAGGTCTGTGGTTGAGACACATTGAAGAGACGGATCACCTTTTGTTCTACGACATTAAATACATCAGCAGTGACCCCACTGGTGATTTTTGAAGAGTTTACGTGTCTGAAAAACGATGGTTGTTAACAAGTGGCTGAATAGGACTACAGAAGTTGTCGAGGCCGTTGTACGTCATTACGCCGAACACGTAAACACTCCTCTAAGTTAGTTTTTCCCTGTGTTCTGCTTGAAAGCAAGTACCTGCCTCCTGCAAACTGTTCAAACAAACGCTTCAACTTGTACCATTTAGAATCTGTATTTTTGAATATGGATCTTAAGTTGGCGTGACGTTGAAGCAGCGACCCTGCTGTAGTTCCTTTATAGCATAACGTTAGCATTTTGCTTCTGGCGACTAGATTTATGATTAGAAAATGATAAAAGTAGAGTAGACATGTGGAGATTATCTGGCTGAACAAAGCGTGATCCGTCTCTTAAATGTGTGTCAACCACAGACCTTATTTCCAGCTATTTTCCAAAATCCTATGGAGAAATTGCATTGCGTTTTTGTCGAAGGAACCGGAAGGAGTTTACTTCCGGGTTTTAGGACGCGTCACTGCGGTTCTCTATTGTAGACTACTGTAAATCAGTTGGAACCATCACTATCTCAGTGTAATGGCACATTACACTCAGGAAATATAAAACGGAGGAAAGACATTTTGCTGACGTATGCGCCAGTTATTTCAACTGATACAGATAGTTCTCGCTATATGGAAGGAACACCAAGAATTCTTTCATACGAGCATATGCCCTGTGTAGCGCACATTATACAGAAGGTGATCACAGCGGCTCTGACAGCAGCTTTGTCAATGACTTGTCTAAGTGTTGAAAAATAGTTAGACTTATTTTTCGTACCATTTTGTCATGCAGTTATTTTTAGCAACACCACATGTGTATTTGTTTATCTTCCAAATGTATTTATCGTCTGTTCACTCAGAGTGTGCTCCGGTCCCTTTCTTCCATTGAACGCTACTCACTCTCCCTGACTTGGACTTCAACAAGGTCCTTTTGTGATTGCACAGTGTTTTGTTTCCGCACATCTCCTGTTGGAGTTATCACACAGGATGTCTTAGATGACTTTGATGCGAGTCTCTTTCTCCTCACAGACGCCCTGCACTTCTGCGTGTGCACCAACTTGAGGAGTTACAGGAGGGCGGAGAGCGACTCCACGGGGACGGAGCTGCAGAACACAAGCTGATTAGGAGGCCGTGCAGCTGTGAGCGCAGATAGAGCAACCTCCAGCTCCTGGCAGAGGAACAAATTATATCTTCAGTCTTTCTTTCCTCGCCGCCTCCATCCCCCTGATGCCCTCACTCTGTCAGCACGTGTTCTCAGGACATATTGACATATTTTCCTCTCCTTATCGCCTCCTTTCCTTCGTCTTAACCTTCTCCGTGGCCGCGCTCCCTCAGTGTTCAAGCACAGTGCAACCAGCCTCTTCACACATGTCCAAAATAAAACACTATCTCTGTCCCTCCTGCTGGCCTACCTTATCTAACCTTCTCTCTTTAGACCTGTGGTCTTCAAGTCGGCTCCTGACTATTTAACCCTCGCCGTCCTCTCACTTTGTCCATCCCTCTTCTCTGACGCCACCTCATCTTCTCACTTCCTTTGCTCTGATTTGTGCAAATAATAAGATGCTGGTCTGTGTTGCTAAACAAATTGAGCAGCTCAGCCTTATGCATAATGAGCATGGTCATATTTACACTGAAACTGCTTCTTTAGGCACATGCCGTAGAAGCCTCACATTCTTTAAAGCTTTGGAGATGCATTCATTCAAACATGGGTGGTCATTAGGCTGTCTTTGTGTCTGACAAGGACACATATTTAGAAATTCATAGATAGTTGCTTGGCAACAGCATTGGTTTGTTCACAATTTGAAGCCCTTTTCACCATTAACAGAACTCGAAACATTACTAGGCTTTTTGTATCGGTTTTCCCCTCAATTGCGTGTCAGCTGACCTCTTATGGGGAGACAGAGGTAAATATAGTCAACAAATAATGCATTCAACTAATGGATATCATTATGTTCATTAATTACATTTAAACTATTATTTTTATTTAAATTATTATTTGTATAACCATTTGGTGAAATTGTATGTTGAAATATGCAAATGAGCCTTAGGAAAGGTCTCATTAGCTAATTTACATTTGATGAGACAAAGGTTTCAAATTCTTGTTTCGTTTTGATGACAGTCAAAGGTTTTTACAGAAGGAACTATATTTGAATCACTTCATAAATGAGAAAATACTATGAACAGACACAAAAAACACATTTTAGCTATGTTTTTAGGATTAAATGTGATATAAATCAGACAATTAAAGATATATTAACAATGCACTAACCGTTTGCACAATAAAAAAAACCCTTATAATATAAATAGGAATATAACTGGAATGTGTGATGCATGTAAGTGGAGTATTCTGGCTCAGAGGATGAGAAAAAAAAGCCTTTAAAGATAATTAGTGTACACTTCTACAGTTTTTAGGGCAATAGGCTGAGACAAATGTACTTCTGCATATCACCATGCTAACTTCCCCCCGTTGATTACTTACATTAAGATACATATTTGTTGTTTGACATGAGTTCTAGAAGTAGGCAAATTAGGCATTATCCAGTACTACATTTGGTAAAAATGTTTAGGTTCAAACCAGTGCTCAAAAAATGAAAAATCTTTTTGGTGCAATGTCCTGCCTTAAAGGAAAAGTTCATGTGTTCTGAAAAAGAATGACTTATTCTCAAAAAGAAAGTTAAAGGGTCCCTTTATTTTCAAATGTGTAGTTTGTTCACAGCATGTCCAGCTCCAATCGATACGTTTCAGGAAGGGGGGAGTGTGGGTGAGTGAAACTCCCTCTACAGAGAACTTTGGGATGTTAGCCTTTGCAGACCGTTTACATACACAAAAACAAATGTAACACACTATAGGAAAGGGAGGACCCATAACAGCACAATTGGTTCTTTTTAAAAGTTGTATTTGTACCCCAAATGTGAACAACTCCTTTAACACAGTCAGCTTTAGTTGAGTCTGGAGTACCAACCTGAAGCAGTTGTTGTGGAACTTGTTATAGGAAGCCATGGTAATGAGACCGCCCCATGCACAGCCCAGAGAGTAGAAGATCTGTGACGCCGCATCTCCCCACACCTACACAGCCAAAAACACAGTCAGAAGCAATACAAAAAAGTAACATGAAATCCATTCCTATCTGCAATTTCCTCTTCCCTGTCTGTTGATGTGTTTGAGTCCATACCTTTGCATCAAGGACCTTATGCCACTGTGGAGTCAGGTAGTACTTGATGCCGTTGACGGCTCCCTCCAAGGTGATGCCACGGATGAACAGGATGGTTAAAACAACGTAGGGGAATGTGGCTGTGAAGTACACCACCTTCACAAACACAAAAGTACAATTATTTATTAATAACAAACGAAATATCATAATTTCTTCATCACTTAAATGTTGCAGCTGGTAAAGTTGGAACTCATTGCAATTTCTTTATTTACTGCGAGGTAGTTAAAGCTTTAGTTAGGCATTATCATTTAAATGAATATGTTGTATCAATATTATGAATCTGCAAAGCTGTCAGATAAACATATTTCAGAGAAAAAGCAGATTTCTCGAGTAGAAGCTTATAGGAGCATGAAGGACCTCATATTTGTGCTCAACTTTGGTACTTGAGTAAATACACTTAGTTGCTTTCCACAACCGACTGCCTTAAGCTTTAATGTCAATGAATGAGTGTGTGTGTGTGTGTGTGTGTGTGTGTGTGTGTGTGAGAAAGAGAGAGAGAGAGTGAGGCTGACCTTTCCAGAGGATTTGACGCCCCTGATGAGACAGAGAAAGACGACAAACCAGGACAAAGCCAGACAGCCGAGAATAGGGAGACGAACCTCTCCAAAGTTCCCAATACCATCAGAGATGTTCAACACATAGTGCCTGAGAAAGAGAGAGAGGGAGAGAGGGAAGGAACGTTTCAGTTCATCTGGTGTCAGGTTGACAATATTTAGACCATTTGGGTTGCCCAGTGACGCATGAAGCCACAATGGCCTGACTCGAGAACAATAATGCCAAGATCCCTGGTGTCTTGGGCACACAGAGCATGCACACTTGCAGCCTGTTCCCAATGTTAGTCATTGGAATAAAGTATTTTGGGGCCCAGTGACGTAACTCGACTGACACAGAGGTTGTACGTATTACCATTCGGCAACTACAAACCATTGCTTCAATGCCAGGCTTACTTCATGGGGACTGCTGCAACTACTGTTTATAAACTTAAATAGCAGGTGCACTTTGAAACCCCTTCATTGACTGTATACAAATATCCTATCAATGAGACTGATATTAAAATGGAGTTGTCCAATATACTGAACAAAGGTAAATCTCCTTCATGTCCCACAATGCTCAGAAGCTGCTACATTTCAACTTAAATCTAGTACAAGTATTGAAATGCTTGCCAGTAAAACAAGCCCTATTTTCGGGCAAGCTTATAGGAGCTAAGGATAACTCACTTGATTACCTTGGAAAAATTCAAAAAACTAAAAGGAGAATTGCATTGTTTTAGCAGCCGCTGAACTTACATAAATACGAGCTCCTGTGCTCTTTGCACACATTAAAATGTAGATAATATGCATATATTTGGCGCAAAATAAAAAACCCTGCAAACCTCTCCGATGGGTTAGGGATGTGATAACATTTGCACAATAACTTTTGAGAATCAGCGCCTGAGAAAAGGTCAGATATCAGTTGCAAATGATGTGCAGATCATGGTGCGATTATCAAGCACCCTATCGGTATCGTGCCGATCCTTGCTTGACTATATCTATGATGCGGATACTCCTTTACCATATTCCTGCACCTTGGAGTTTGACGAATATAATCAGAAATGGTAATGCTGAAGGACTTTGGTTTTTACTTGTCGTATCACTGATGTATCAGAGACTTACTTCCAGTATTCCTCACTGGGGCTGGTCCTCTTGGTGCGGTTGACTACCTCGGTCACCCCTTCCACCAGGCTGGTGCTAACGTTAGCCAGCCTGGTGATGTTCCTGGTGATGTTGCTGCTAAACACGCCACTGCAGTCCGGTGTGTTCCAGGGATTGTTACAGTAGGTCCATGGCAACAAGTATGTCATTGACTGGAAAAAGTAGTAGAAGGATATACAAATGACCACGTTGTAATAGATCCCAATGTAGGTGGAAACCACCATCATGCCATAGCCCACACCTGAAGGGTAAAGAAGACACAATGGGAACACGTTAGAATGAAAATGTGAAGCAAATGCAAAGGCTGCATCCTTAGGAAGGAAATAAATAAATATTATTTGTAAAATGAAATCAAACAACTTTAGTGAAACCTTGTACGACTTCATATTGTATTCAAGTGTCTCAAAATGTCTAACTGGTTAATCCTCACTTTCCTGCTATAACACATAATGTGGTTGTAGGGGCATCCACAAACTATGTTTTGTTAAGTTTTTCTTCACTTCAAGCTGATACATTTGTATATAAAAGTGAATTGACCTCACATTACACTCACTGGATCTTTACATAACATCACATTCTTAACCATGGGTGAATGCAAAGACTGCCAACACCATGTGCTGAAAGATATCTATCTTAAGATCAATATCATAAAACCTGTTGACCCACATTACATTGACAAAATACAAGTAAACATGTTTAGATGCTCTCACCACATGCCTATCTTATTACTTGAATGTTTGGCTGCCCTGAATATGACACCTAACATACATATTAATGTTTAAAGCACAGAATGATTACCTCTTACTGTGTATTGCTTAGGGTTAGGATTAAGTTAGGGTTGTATATCAAAACATATGATGTTTCATGTTTTAGATTGAGTCAGACCTTACAAATAGCAGGTTTATGTTATTATTTCTTTACCTCCACAAGTTTGATGGTAAGAATTACTCTTTTTATTATAAGCTTGAGGACAACTTGATGCCCAGGAAGTGACCTGGCCCCTGCCTGTAGCAGTCCAAACGTTTTACTTTTGGTCTGATCAACACTTGAACCGGCGACCCTTCAGTTCACAAGCCCAGTCCCTACAGACTGAGCTACTGCATCCAATGCTGCCCCCTAGTTTCACAACAGAACACTGCAGGATACATTTTAAGGAACCCAGCTATGACACCTTGCAGTCAAGTGCACTTGACTGCAAGGCAATTGTTGGTCATTTCACTGCCGTGCTCACTTGGCTATGAGGTAGGATCAGTAATAACTCTTTGATGAAGTTATTTCGGTTTAGAATAATTAATAGAAACCACACACTTAACGTGCACATAAGCACAGGGGGTTGTGTGTTCATTTACAACAGTCTGATGCTGCAGGGTTAGGGTTAGTTGGTTATGTCACCCAGAGCCTGATAAATATGGATCGACTTCACAGACGTTGAAATAAAGTCACAAAAAACTAAATGAAAAGTTGACAGCGCTGCCAAACCCCACAAAAAACACACAATCCCAAATGTTTAATGGGAGTTCAAACCCGTTGACACTTACCTTTGAACACGGGGCTGATCTTCCATACTCCCAGACACCCCTGGCTGGCAAACTGACCAAAGGACAGCTCCAGGAAGAAGAGAGGGATTCCACAGAACACCAGCATGATGAAGTAGGGCAACATGAAGGCACCTGCAGGAGAGAGGCACTCAATCACTGCCTTTGTCTATGATCTATGGGGACTGGAAGTTGTATATAAAATAGACAGTAAACTGTAAAAAAATGTTATGTTTAATTGTGTACGTTTTAGTGCTTTATTACTGGTGTGTGAGCACCTCAAAATGTATTTTCTGCTGATGGATAGTAATCCAACACAAGTAAACGCTCTTTCAAGCATTTTTGTGTGATTTGTTGGAAAATCATAAAAAACATCAGTCTAGTTACTGTAAAAACGCTTTTTTTTTTAATATTACATTTTCATTCTTAAGCTAATGTATAACTGCATAGTACCCTCAGTACTCAAAATATAAGGTGAAGAAAAATGGCCACCATAATTTCCACCTCGGCAACCAAAAGCTGATGCCTAGTTTCCTGGCAACTTTTAATAGTTAGTGTTGAGCACTTTTGTGTAATGTCATCTAAATACAACAATTGAAGGAAATTACAGAAAGAAAGAATAGAACATAAAAAATCAAACAAAAACCTCATCTGTCATGGCAACCTCCCCTGGGTAAGTGGAGAGGTCACTGCGCGAGTGTGTTCAGTGGTGCAGCAACTCTCTAGTGGTTCAGACTGGACCAGAAACCAGACAATCATCCAAAGGGAACGTCTGTGTGTCAGGAAAGTCATCTGTTTTTTGAGAGTGTGTGTGATTTTGTATATATGCCCTTTTGCGATTTGGGTAGGTGCAACCAGCTGATACCAAAACTTCCTCTGTGTGTGTAAGCTGCAGGTAGAAGCTGATGTGAGACCTACATATTGTCTAGTCCTTGCACATGAATTTAGCTATTTTACAAGCATTAAAATATTTGAAGCACGGAGTCATTGACTTAGAGTACCTCGACTAAATTCACAACTTTTCAGTATAGTTGGGAATTTTTCTAGGAGCCATGGAAAAAAATGTCATGATGATCCAGGCCAAAGTAATTGCGATTCAACATATTATCAGATACCATCAAAAATATGCTTAAAGCTCTTAAAATGGCACCAAAACATACTGGAATAACTTAACCTAGCATATTGCTAAGCTACAAATACTGTTGTGCTGTAAAAAATTGTTTGTAAAAATCAAGAATCAGGTTTATTGCCCTACATACAAGAAATGTGCTTTGGTGTATACCTAATCACAAAAAGAGGAATTACATTTAGAATAAAATAAGAGCAAATAAAGAATTTTGTAAAACAATAAAATGTTCTTGAAGAATATGTACAGTATACCTATAACACATCATAAGACTCCACTGCATTGAAAAGGATAAACTGATTTTCTTAAGGGCAACATTGAATTAGTTTGCTCTTTCTACATTATTATTCCTTTTATTTAATAAAAAAAAAAAAATCAGGCTAAAATGTTCACTTATCTGCCAGGAAAGCGTGCAACACAGCATTTTCAAGTACAAGGGTATTGCCAGCTAATGTCAATTTACAATAATTTCTTCTTTTTTTTTATTACGATCCATGATCCATATCAAGCTTTCCTTATTCTCAAGAAATATTAAGTACACATTTGTATCTATTTAATTTAATAAAGCCTCTTTTAGATGCATTTAACTTGATGGCAGAAAGACTTTAAGGGCTTGAATACAGTTTGTTTTAATCAGGGTCTTGTGCTTTGAATACAATGGCTGCATGGCAGATATAGCACGTCAGCGGAAGCAGCTGGATCCACTCGGTGCACTCAGACACATTTTGACAGCATTCACAGCCCAATTAACAATAATGTAGTGACGCAAATCTAGACCCGATGCTTAAAAAGACACGTTGTATTGAGGTTATGTGCATAAAGTGTGAGAGCAACATGGCTGGTGAAGGCTCAATCAGACAGACGTGATGTAGTTAGCTGTGAAAGTAAAAAAGGTGCACTGATATGGAATACAGTTGATATACAGGTGATCTGTTAAGTGATGTGAAATGGGTTACGTTGTATAATCACATTCACCACACAACTCTATAAATATAGCTAACACTGAACACCCATGGATATATTTCAATGTATAAAAACCAGAATGAATTGTTTCCCCTTTTAATCTGTTTAGTTTGGAGGTTACATTACAGCTGCTTTGACTTCCTGAATCGTTTTTTAAAAGCCCACAGATGTTTATTAGGAACAATTTGAGAAAGTCTTTACTATCAGATACATTCCTTAATGGTTAAAGTAGTAAACTGATTTAATAAATGACTAGTTTGAACACAGTTAGTTGTAAATAATCTAACATATTTCACACTAATTTAGCTGGTGAATTAGCATAGTAGCTATCCACTCTTTCCTTTATGTTCAACATATGCACTTTCTAGGCTTGTTTTGAAAAACTTGGTTTTGTGAGAGCTGTTAAGAGTCAACCATTTGCACCAGTGAACACAAACATGACTTTTGTTTCAGTCATGTTAATAAAGAAAGCTTCAAAAATATAGCTTTACGGAGCTAAACATTCCTTACTTACAGATAGTCTACAGGTTTCAAATGTGTAATTGCTACGGGAGTTAATATTTCGGTAGCTCACGATTCAATATCAATTATTGATTCCATACCCAGGGGTGCTAATTTCAGGACATCCTCAGAGGTAGTGTGGCAAATAACACTATGAGAATATGCGTGTTATAAATATAAGAATGATGAGGTTTTAAAGTGACAAACAAAGTTTTTACATTTGGAAGAAATAACCGCAACTATGTAAAGACACGAAAACAAAAAGGTAACTTTTATTCACGCTAAACTTGCTCAATTGAAAAACATTTTTTGAAAAAACATTTAAGTATTTCTCGTGGACTTTATGGTCAAGCTATACAAACAATAACAAGGATACCTGCATACATTAAACTGAAAGGCTAGCTGCCTTTTTATGCCTCGAAAACTTTCCAATTTTTCAACTGAATTTTCACAAAATAACACTGTAAAACTGTTATTTTATTTATAAGCTAATCAAAACGAATGCTTTGTACATTTGACTTGGCATGTAGTATTATGACTGAGGTTCTTTTGTGGAAAAAAATATGTTTCACCCACTTCGTAACTAAAGTGTGTTTTGTGCAGCTTGTGTACACATAACATTTACAATGGGGAAATGTACTTATTTCATCTGTACACCTCTCCATGTATGTCATAGGTTGGTCAGCATTTTAAAAGTCAACTCAATGTAAAGACATACCTCCTCCATTTCTGTAGCAGAGGTAGGGAAACCTCCAGACGTTGCCCAGGCCCACCGCGTAGCCCACGCTGGTGAGGACAAACTCAATCTGGTTCCCCCAGTTCCCTCTCCGGGAGTTTTCATCCTTCTTCACCGGCTCACCTGGAACTGCTCCATTCTACAACAAACAGAGGGACAACACATGTTAAAAGCACTTTCTTTACAATCAATCCCATGTGTCTGAAATGTCACATTTGTGGAAGCGCATTCATTCATGCGACGATGGAGAATAATCAACTTCTTATGGTTGCATGTGGAGTCGAATTATTCATATTCTACAATATTCCTGTAACATACTATCTGCTCTACCCCAGAGTGCAGCATAAGGTGTGTTAGCTGGAGCAGACGGGATGTAAAGTGAAATCTGCGCCTTAAGAACAGCCGATAAGCATTTGGTCTTGTCGTCCTGATTTCGAGCTTCTCCTCTCCTCCCTCCCTCCCTCCCTCCCTCACTCCATCTGCTGGCATCAGATGGTCCCTCTCCTCTGACCTCCTTCCTAACCTCAGCTGTGTCGGACTGTCTGTGCTTTTGTGGGTGCACATGAACACACTCGTGCTCTTGCAGAAAAATAAATACAGCTAATTTGGATGAGCTCGTTTTTGCATAATGTACTTGTAGTACTCTCGGATCAGTCATCAACGAACTGAAATTGTATAAAATCTTTGGTTATTTTTACACATTTCTTCAATCTTTTGTGATTTAGCTGTGGCTGATGATTCTAAAAACATAAAAGGTATATGGAGTAAACACAGTTCTCTATGGGCAAAAGGACACTTTTTGAGGTGGTGGGTTGTGATGCTTTCCAAAAATAAAAGGTTTAAAGAAGAAGTAAGGACATTTATTCATATCAAAACTAAATTGTGGCCCTGGATTACATGTAACATTGTGTTTATCTAGAAGCCAATAGAATTTAGAATTTGTGTGCCTACTCGAGCTATTTTAAGTTGGCCAATTCTAACATATTCCTAGTTGTACTAATTGGTAAGTGAGTTCAAATTAGTTGTTTTTTTTGGAACAAACTAGGATGATTTAAGTGTTAATCTTTAAATGGAAAGGTTTGACTAAACCATTAAGAAATCTGGAAAGCGAATGATTGTGCCTCAAAGAATTATTAAAGACCGTGGTACCGTTAAGCTCCGACGTTATCGGTCTTTTTATCGGTAGCCTACTGGATATGTAAAAAATATATGTCATGTTTTATTGCTACACAAACATTATATTGCAGTTTTAGTTTCGCCAACTCCGTTTCTAATATGCAAAAAGATTGCAAGATGCGTCTATGATTATTTTTAGTATTTTCGATCTCTCCAATCCAGACGAGAGATCTCTCCCCGTCTGTGTGCGAGGGGGCGGGGCAGTTTACACACACGCAGCTGATACATGCAGCAACACACACACACGGAGGAGATGGCGGAGAGAATGCGCTCCAAGGTGTGGTTAAACTTTACCCGTCTCGATGTGGACAATGCTCGTTACCAAAAGTGCCATAAGAGTTTAGCATGTCAGGGCGGTAACACGAGCAGTTTGTCTAAACATTTAGCAAAAGTGCACCACATCCGGACGGAGACATGCACCGGGTTCGACGGTCTTTCTAGTAGCTCTATAGCCCCATCCACGAGTAACGTTTCCACGTCAGGTGTTATGTATGCTAGCAGCAACACACGGATTAACTCAATTATACAAACATGGGTTAATGATTAGGTAACAGAGTTATTTATTTTGTTAAAGTTTCAGCTATTCTGTTTACAATTCTGTCATCAGTCATTTAATACGATTTGTTCAAACATTGTTGTTTCTTTTGATGTGAAATATTATTTATTTACATTTAAAAGCAATGTTAGTTTTGTTCACAATTTGTTTAGTTAGTTTACCTTATTTTTTTCTTCAAAAGAACCGATAAAAGTACCGTTAAAAGACTGGATCGATAAGCGGTATCGATAAAAGTAGTAGTAGCGTTAAAACCTTAACGATACCCATCCCTATTCATAACATTCCTTGTTGACAATAAAAGGTCTAAAGATTTGATTGTGGGAGTTTGTTTTCTATTTTTGGAGTTTTTATTGTAATTCTTTTAATATGTAGACGCAGCTCTCTGGTTTATATGCATTAACAGTGTCTATGCGAGCTAGGCGCAGTTGTATGCATAGCGCCATAATGAAAACGTATTTCCCTCATTCATGCTGCCTGTGTTATCTGTGTATAGCAGGGCCAGATTTCCAGAGGCTCAGTGAATGAATAGCTCGAGAAAAATGTGAATGTGAAAAAAAACACTTCTTTTATGCAGCATACAGTTCATTTAGCTGCAAAAAAATATTTAAAAAAAATCACATAATCTTTAGCTGTCATTGGATAATACACTACATGCCTGTAGACAAGTAAACTATATACACAAGAATGACAGCTTTTCAGCAAAGTTACTGCTTTGTTAACAGTTTTATTTGTGGAAAAAATTATAATATAAGAGCAATAAAGAGACATTTATGTTTTGTTCCAATTACATGAAACTGCTGCAGGACACCAAGCCCAGGGGAAAGCATGTTGTTACTCACACACAAACACACACACACAAACACCTCTCCCAAGATGCCGTGCTACTTCCGACACAGAGCGAAATCTTGTTCATCAGCAAAAATATCAACAAAACAACCACAATGACACAAAACAACCTCTACACTATGCCCCCATTGGTTTCAAAGTTCAACTCTGAGGCAGCGCCAAGCACAACTAATGAGAGAGAGTCAGTAAAACAGCAAAATAAAACAAACAGCTGCCATGTTTTTCCCAAAGGCTTCGTCTTACTTTGACTCTGGCTGTGCTTGCATGTCAGGAGGGCAAGACAAAAGGCATCCTTGACCTTTTTTTTGTAAAGTAGAGTGGAGGCTGCAGGTGGGACAGACAGGAAGGTCAACAAACACAAGTGGTTGATAGTGAGGAGTGAAGTCACGATCACAGCAGGGTGTAAGGAGCAACCCTTCAGAGGGTCACGCGCTACATGTCCCCGCCTGGAGTTCACTGTGGAAGGAAAAGCAGCAGAGGAGTCGTGTGCAGCTGTGTGTGTGTTATTTTTGCACTCTCTATTCGGCAGTACAGCATGTACATCTGACTTGCCTATCAGCAACCAGGTGTGTGCCTTTATAAGATACACAAGCACATGCACGAGTGCTCAGGTTGACAGCTTGGTTCAGGTCTGCACCCTGACAAACCGAAAGGAGAGAAAACTCTGGGAATAGCAATGACCCATGAGTCTATGGCGTACACTCTTTGAACATCGACCTGACATATTGAAGACAGGCGCACGGTGGGGTTTCAATTCAGTGGTAAAGTGAGTGAGGTGAAAGGAAGTGGAGGGCATGAGTGGAGGATGTTCTTTTACAGTGATAACCAGGCACTGGGCTGTTGCAGTGTAGTTGCTATATTTAGTATTAAGTATGCTGACATTTGCATTAAAGCGAGGATGGGCAATCTGTAGCGTATAGAAAGCTCTAGAGAGCTGGTTTAAACCTTGGATGCTTTGTATTCGTATTTGTTTGAATTTTTTGACATGGTGTCCCATGAATGTTATAAGCATGCATTCAAAGCAGCATTTAAAGCCATTTTTTGCAAAAAAGTACTGAAAGAGCAAAACTCAATCTCAAAACAAAGCTTAAAGCCATGAAAAAATATAAAAAAATTAGGGCTGTCAAGTTAACGCGTTAATGCAATTTTTATTTTTTACGCCACTAATTATTTTAACGTGCGATTAACGCATGTGTATTTGTCCTCGGCCCGCCCCGTAGTTTCAGAGCCCAAAGCTTGACGTTGTTGTTGTTAGTTGGATGGTGGGAGATTCTAGCGAGAGATATGGATACAAAAAAAGGTGTTTTAAACAGCAAGCCAAGCACACAGCTGATGCTGACAGCCCCGCTCCTGCTGCTTGCTTGCGGCAGACCACGCTTGAAGGTTTGCCGGGGAGACGCCTGGACAACAACAGCGATAGCTAAATGGGTGGCTACAGCTTAACATTGTGGAGGACGAGGGGCTGCGTTAGATAATTCGGATCACATCCAACGTGTCGACTGCACATCACAGCGCATTATTTTGACCCACAGTGGGAACTTCAGTCTCATGCTTTGACTGAAGATGAAGACAGAGGAGCGGCATTTCGCCGACAACTGTAAGCAGGCTTGTCTGTTTGAGCAACTGGCTCAGTGCAGAGAAGTACACAGGGTTGGGAGAGAGTGTAAGAGAGAGAGAGAGAGAGAGAGAGGTTCCAGGTTGTTGTGTTGAGAATATTTGTCATTGTTCCAATGATAATAAACAAACATTTGCATAAAGCATATTTGTCCACTCATATGTTGATAAGAGTATTAAAAACTTGAAAAATATTCCTCTAAGGTACATTTAGAACAGATAAAAAATGTGTGATTAATTTGCGATTAACTATGGACATCATGCGATTAATCGCGATTACATATTTTAATCGACTGAAAAAATATATCTGTACTCTGATACCAACCTGGCATCAAGTATGTGACCGGTAAATCTTTTTTTTTTTACTTGAAAATGTGTTTCTATCTTTGTCATGTAGCTTATGTATTAGACTGTTGGTCAAGTGATACAAGCTATTTTAATGACATGCCTTGGGCTGCAGAAGAACACATGTTATCTTTATGTTTTTCTGACATTTCCTAGGCAAACCAATTGATTAATTTATGTATACATAATTGTCTGATTAATTCATATTGGAAGAAAAAATAAACTGCTCTCGAATGTAGCTATAAAATGTATGATGCATTCATTCGGTCCTTGCAGCCAGGTTTATTGAGTCTTATTTAACTCTATATGCTAGGAACAGGGTAACCACTCAATGATAGCAAGCATCAGTGTCTGCATTAGCAGAAAAGAAGTTGGGTTGATACATATACATTTTTCAATAACATATGGCCCAAAAACAGGATACATGTTTACATGTATAGGCCTACATATACTGGAGATCAACACAATCCAGTAGAAATCAGACAGTATCAAACACTAAGTATTGGCTGAACCCTCTGTTCCAAAGTTGAACTGTGTTTATAGTTTCATCCCTCTCCCCCTCGACTGACCCCAGGTCTGCCTCTCTCAGCACAGGTGTTGTA